TTTATTCCTTAGTGTCCATGATAGAGCAAAATTTGAATGCATTTAAGCCGCGTTTTCTCGTCTTCAAGACCGTTTTAAATGGTCAGAAGAGCACCAAACAGTTGCTCTCATCTGGCAGTTACTTATTGCCACTGTTGCTCAACTTTTTGGGGACCAAAAAATTATGGACAAAAATCGACTTCAAACCATGAGGTACCCCTCATGGTTTTTATTGAAAATTAAATGATCGCGTTTTTTGCCTTGAAGATGAAGGATTTTACTATGGTATATATGATATCAAAATGTTTCTCTCAACCGAAAGCAACTTCTGGAATTGCTTTTATGAGGTTTTTATATGCAAGATTTTGACATTTTGGCCAAAAACCGTATATTATATTTTACCAAATTGCTCAATAAGTTCAGTCAAAACATCTATTTTACTTGGCATCATTAGAAGCGCCTTAAAGAACATTCCAAGATTGTATTAGAAAGCATCAGATGGTAATCACCATTTGTATAGTCAAATATCACAAAATAGTTAAAGAAGTCCACAAAAGACGAAATTTGGCCAATATTGATCAGAATGAATCAACTGAGTTTGAATGAGTTTTGGCGGCAGCAACGGGGTGCGATGCTGCTGCTGACTGGAGCAATTGTCTTTCTAATGCTGACAATGATGATGACCATGTGTGCCGACAACCATGAATTTGGACTCGTTGGACCAAACAACCTTCTTCCACTGATCTAGCCCCCATCCAACATTGTCCAAACACCAAGGCAGTTTTTTTCTGCTTATCTTTAGGCGCCAATGCTGGCCTGTGTGCAGCCTTGTAAAATTAATAGCCAATTAGTTTCATATACTTCTTGAAAGTTTTAACTGAAATTGATAGATTGGTATCCAAGCTTGTCTTGGAATGGTTCTGTACTGGTAACAATGGGGCAGGACGAAGCTGTCGTACGAGCCGTCTCTCTGGGACTAATCTCCCTCTTCAATGGAGCTCCAAAACGTTTTAAAAGTAATCTGGCATCATTAGTAGAGCCTGTTCTCTTAATCGTAGTGCTCATTGTAGATGGGGACAGATTCATTGTCTTGCAATTCATACTTTCTCTGGCACCTGCTCTGTGGCAGTTTACTGTACCACCAGTTTGCCTTTCTGAAAGACGAGATTCGGTTTGTCGATTGCCTTGATTTTGTAATAAGCTTATGTAAAATTTTTAATTTGGTCAATTAATGAGATGTATGATGCTTTTCACGCATTTAGACAATTATTAGGTTCTTTCGGATTTTTTAAAATAAATATAAGCAATGACTTATTCGCATCGAGTGTAAAGCCTAAATTTTAGTCCGTTATTACTGTATTAATAAAGCTGTTGGTGGAATTATTTCAATAATAGTCTTTCAGCTGGTTGTCGGCTTAGGAGGTTTTACCGTCCGTGTAAACTGTGAGTTAGTCTGCCGTGGGATTGATTACAAGTGCCTCTCAGTATCTCAAGCTTTATGTCTGTATTTATGTGACGACCTACGTATATATATATATATATATAAAAGAATTAACATGGATATCTATAGCAAAGTTGTTCATATAGGAATTTATGGTGAGATATGTATGTGCAGAACATACTATAGTATCAGAACATAAATAATATTGTGAAATGCATCATATGATAACTTCTCAATCCATGTCATTCAACATTGTTGACTGAATCGAACATTGGAGTATATTATATGCCGTACAAATGAACATGAGTAGGGCCACCAAATGGCTAACCTACGGTATATTCTGGTTCCTGAGCTGTGGTAGCCTATGAACTTTTGTCCCTGAAAGTGAGTTTCTGTCATGAACAGAGCCAAGATCATGTTCCTGGATCTGTGATGATGTGACTCAAGTGTTATGTCTATGTCCACCACCACCTTGGTTCTCAGGAGTCAAAGAAACTAATTGATAATAATTAGTCATCAAGTTCCAGTCATCAAGTTTAGTCATGCTATTGCACTGAAGTGAACTAGACTAGATTCCCATCATAAACAAAGCCCAAAATAAATGTCATCTCAATCAAACCGTGCTACCATCAGCAGATAGGCATGCATAATAATAGTATTAGCATGACGATAGCAAGTGTTAAATGCTCTAAAATAAGAGATGACAGATACTAAAGTAAATGCCAAGGGTATTGTAATGTGTTGTAACATAAATATACCTAAAAAGGATACAGGCTCAACAATGAAGAGCTATTCTTTACGCATGATTCAAAAACCATATATTGAAATACCGTTCTTGATCCATCAGATCAACAACTAAATGACCCAACAAAAATATATAAAGTAATGGAATCACTGGCAACTACTAAACTGCTGCCAGATAAGAGATATAAACCAAATAATATAAATAGAGACGTAGAATATACATTTTATTGCACATTATCCTAATTTCGAATAAAGAAGGATTTTAACAGTATTCTACCTGCTTTTTTTTAACCCCTTTTTACTGCACTCAAAACACTGGGTTTTTGTATTGGTTATTACTTTACACTTTACTCGTTTAATCATTTGACCACCAATGCAAGCAGCGACTAAAACCCCGTTTATATCCTTAGCAACCCCTCAAAGTGGGCATATAATCGTTCTATTTTGAAGCCTCTAGCATTAACGTACGGCGTCAAAAAGCTGTTCCTCTTTTTTGATAATACGATACGCGACGCGCCTTTGTCCTTTTGCCCAACCACAATGAAAGAAGATGTAGCCTAAAGGTTTTTATTGCAATGTTGTTTTCCAACACCTAATCCATAGGTCGAGCACCCGTAATCACTCGTAACGGGCAACTTTAATTGCCTAATCCATTCTATCTAAAGCTTGGCTTAGCCAAACCTTGTCTGAGGTTCCTATTGCTCAAGATGATTCGCTATTTTTATCCCAACACAAGAGTGGGTCATTTGAAAGGAGAGCTACACCATGTCCTTATCAATAGAAATATAATGCTTTGCAAGAAATTTGCAGCGGCACCACCACATTCATCAAAAAGAGAAACGCTGATTTCTTTCAGAGCTGTTTCTGCTACTGTTGTATGGCCAGCGATCTTTGTAGCCGTTACATAATTATTTCAATAAAAGTGTCGATATTCCTCACTGTGATGCGCTATTTTTCTACAAGCTCAAGTATGAGTTTTTTTTTTAAAAAAAAAAGAAGAACTGGTACGCGCATTGTCTTTACCATCAAAAAATACCCAATGCAATGCAGTTTGCGGTTACTGCTTCACTTCTTTTTGATACAGAAATGTTGCTGTACTTGAACTGCTGTGTACGATGTATCTTTCGTTATTTTGGTTGAAGCGATAGACAGGTTTAGGTGGTTGGATTCACAAGGCACACAGGCACCTTCCACATATTATAACACAATAGTCCCTCGACAGTTTTACAACCCTAATATGGAAACCGAGTTGCCAGGCATTTGCTAGACATGGCTCATATATGATTAGTAGTTCTATACCAATCAACAACAATCAAGGGTCTTTTAACATTTTAGCTATTATTAATTTTGCAATATTAGCCAAAGACTCGCAGCAGCGCGAGCCACCAGGATGTAGGTTGATTTCCACCAAAGCAAAGCGTAGGTCAGGAAATCATCTAAAGAGTCAAAAGGCTCATCGTAATATAATAAATTTATGATCCCTGCACACTTTCAAAGCCTCAAAAAGGAAAGACGTTGATCTAACGAGCATTTTGATAGACTGGCGTTATTAAAAGTAGAATGCAAAGAGAATAGCATGGCTAACTACAGTGCTATTTAATTTTCCACCTACTTTTCATACGCTTCAAGGGCATCTATTGCTGTATTCCCCATATGATTAAAAAGGCATTGAGTTTGCCAGCCAGGTCTATCAGCCAAAATTAATACAAATCCAGATTCATAGTCTGTACTGGATTGGCCAGATCTTGATGATTTTCGACTCAATTCAACTATTTTGCTAGATTCGACTATATAAAATCTAATGATCATCCCCTGCTCCTTTAAGCTTCCTTGGAGTGCTTTTTAAGGCGCATCCAAAGGTACCAAGTAACTTAGATGTTTTGAATAAACTTGTTGAGCAATTTACGAGAATATAAAAAGAGGATTTTGGCCAAAAAGTCGAAATTTTACATATCAAAGTCCTACAAAAATGATTTCAGGAGCTACGTTGGATCGATAGAAACATTTTGATTTAATACATACCATAGTAAAAGTCTTCGTTATCAAGGTCAAAAATGCGATCGTTTAATTTTCAATGAAAACCATGAGGGGGTACCTCATGCTTTTTGGCCGATTTTTGTCCATGTTTTTTTGATCACCAAAAAATTGAGCAAAGGTGTCAGAAAGTAACTACCAGATGAGAGCAATTGTTTGGTGCTATTCTGACGGCCTAAAACAGCCTTGAACGCAAGAAAACGCAGCTCAAACGCACTCATATTTTGCTGTGTTGGGCACACTATTGATTGAAAAGGGATAATGTCTGTATGCTACTTGCCCGTATATATGTAGTCTCTACGTGCATACACAGGTGGGACATCACATAGGAAATAGATTTTCAGATAATATGAAGGGTTTTCATGTATAAATGGAGAGTCAAAATAAATGTGGCAGTGTTCTGATGATATACCCGAGGGCATTCGGTAGCGCGAGCTGCCGCTGAGAAGGTTAGTTCTCACCGAAGCGAAGCAAAGGTATAGAGCCATCCGCAGCATAAACATTTGTACTCATAAAACGAATTTGCCAGAAAGAAATAGCAAATCTTGTTGGAGCTGTAATGACTCGAATGACCCCAATCTGCACTGCGTAGAAGGTCTACCAAATTACATGCACAGGAAGTTGAGCATATAACAGCACATGGTAAATAGTAGAGAAGCACAATCAAGCCATAATACCTTCCAAAAGACAAATACAACTATATCAAACATGCAAAGACCAATTTTATATAAAGTCATACTATAAAACTAATTTTATTGATGCACTGATAGTGTTTGTATAAAAAGATGGACAATGAAGACCATTACTCCAATGCAGCCAATGCTTCCAATACCTGAATGATTTGTCGCGGTGTATTGACATGCCAATTGGCATGTGTCTTCTTTTCTGATGGACCCACCGTGATGGAATATAAGCTCGAGTCTTGCTCTTGCCAAATGACATGAGGTGTAATCGTACTTTTGGGAGAGACGTTGGGTGAAGACACTCTCAAAGCAGTAGGAGAAGAGATTTGCTTTTGCTGGTAATGAGCCGCACTCAATGCTCTAAACATGTCTTCATCCGTCTTGTCATCGCCAGCACACATGACCAGGTTGGTATCTGAATTCTTGGATAGAATGCGCTTCACAATCTCTCCCTTGTTCACTGACATGGGTCGAACTTCCAAGTTTTTCTTGCCAACCAGGATTTCTACAGGATATTTAGACACAATGGCATTCTCCAGATGGTTTTGGCACTCTTTGGCTTGGAAGGCACTATGTATAAACGCTTGTTAATCTACTGCTTGTTATGCTTTATTATGCGATCTAATACGCCTACCCATATTCAGCATCTGCCATGCGATAGTGCCAGGTAATAGACGATTTCTTGTGCTCGACAAAACTGCCTTGGGTACGTTCTGTATAGTAATCAAAGATCTCCTCTACATCTGCCTTCCAGCTCATATCCATGCCATCAGCAATGCTCTTCCATTCACTGGATCCAACCTCTTTCAAGTAACATCCATGCTCTGCACTGAGTCCAATATTTGTAATATTGCTTCCCAACCACTCATCCAGGACAACTTGATCTCTTCCAGACACTACCCAAACAATATTCTTGGGATCATTGCACAGGAATTGCAGTGCTTTGAGCATATCGTGGCCCGGTTTAGCGTCTGAGGGCACCGAGACAATAGGCGTTAGTGTACCCTAATGCAGATTTGTCCATCAGTACCGTATACCTGACACACTTCCAAATATTCTACTTACATCGTAATCGAAAAACATGATTCTCTTCTTTGCAGATGTGTAGTCTTGAACCAGTTTTTGTATGTCCAGTTTGGGTGTAGCATGCGATTGAAGATCCTGTTGTTGGCTGACACTCACCAAATGCTTGATAAACGAATGTGCCCAGAAATCAGCAGTATGACTAGTAACATGGCTGTAAAGCTTATCATGGCGCGTTGTTCTTTCTTCTGTAGGCATGGTCAAAGCGTCATTGATGGCTCGTGCAACACCAGCCAAATCGTAAGGGTTCACCAAGATGGCTGCATTCAAAGAACCTGCCGTACCAGCGAATTCTGAAAGAATCAAGGGTCCTTGTTCTGGTTTATCATGTTGACAGAGAACATATTCATACGATGTTGTGTTCATGCCATCTCGGCTACAAGTAATCAGGGCAAGGTCAGCCACGGACAGCAGGGCATAGTACTCATCACGGTCGATATCTTGGTGGTAGTAATGGCACGGCACAAATGCAATGCTGCCAAATTCACTATTGATATGGCTGACTGCCTCTGAAATCTTGGCTTCCAACTTGGAGTGGTCACCATGTGTAGGCGTAGCGACCTGGATCAAGACCACATTGTTGCGCCATTCAGGGAAGTCTTTGAGGAACTTTTCAAAAGCATGTAGCTTCTGCAAGATGCCCTTGGTGCTGTCAAGCTTATCGCGCCCCACAATAATCTTCTTTCCAGCATACATGTCACGGATAGCATCCATTTTAGGCTGAACACCGGGTTGTTTACAGAACTGAGCTACTCTATTGCAATCCACACCGATAGGAAATGCACCCACTGAAATCATGGTGCCATTGTAGCTGACACCCACCTGAGTTGTTTCGCAGCCCAGAACGCGAGTGCAAGACGAAATGAAATGCCTGGCATAAGAGTAGGTCTATATACATGTTGCGCGCATAACTGAGTGATTGGCTATACATGCTTTGAGAACTTGTAACGTACCTGAAACCCAATGAGATTTGCACCGAGCATGCCCTGAAGGATTTTATTTCGGGCTGTTATGTAATCATGGAAGAATAGAAAAGGTTAATTTCTTGTACTGTGCATAATCAGAGATATACACTATACGCACTTTGTAAACAACGGAATATCTCAGAGCTTGGAAATGTAGCATGAACGAAAATGCCAATAGCCGCATCAGGAAGTTTCTCACGGATCATTTCAGGGACCAGCAATAAATGGTAGTCATTGATAAAGACTAAAGTATAGCATGAATATACTCCTGTCACTGTAATAGATGCTGGAATCACTTACTGATATCATTCTTTTGGTATCTGTCAATGATAGTGTCTGCAAATTGACGGTTCACAGCAACGTAGTCATCCCAATGACGCTTCTCGGCTCTACTATCACCGGAAGAGGATTGAACTAAATAATGAAACACAGGCCACAACACTGTTTTTGTATTACCATAAACAATAAAAGATGAGGTCATTCATCTATTCTTATAGAACAAGCTGATAATCATCATCACGTACCTTGTTTACAGTATCCTTCGTAATGGCCGTGAGATTTCTTTTGATCCAGAAAGATAGGCACTATATGGCCCGTTTCCCATAAGAGCGATTGAAGCTTTACCTTGTCCTCTACAGCCAATGTGTCTGTTGCAATCTTGTTGCGAGTACCTTGCTCTCGGATAGGACCCGTCCAACCAATATGAAGCGTTTCATTATCCTTGCGCAAGCTCTGTATACCAGCATACAAGGCTTGATGACCCCTTCTTTCAACCACAGTCCAGTCAGCTGCGTGAAACTTCATACGAAGAGTAACACCTCGTCTGTGATGACGAGCCAATTTGGAGATGGGAGCAGCTGCAACTGGATCAGCTGTACAGTCCTCTTTACCAGGAGTAATAGCCTTTGAGTTATCAGCAGCATGTGGAGATCTTGGTGGTGAGATGGGATACTGATCTTGCTGGTCGAGAGTGTGTTGATGTGAGCGCAAAATGTTGTAGGGTATTTGATGTGTTACATTTATGATACGTCCCTGGATCTCGGGTAACTGGCCCGATAAAGGCAGATAGTGTGCCACCTTTTCAGCTGTGAGAGAAGCGTCTGTTAACATTTGAATTGGATACAGAGAAGAGACGAAAATAAAGAAGATCAATACTAGAGGTATTTATACTTTTTTTGATTTTCCATCACGGGTTTCAACGAGCTTGTTGTTGTTGGGGAGTACAATTAGAACAAGAAGATGTGCCTAGGATGATGGGGCCTCTCTACATAACATGATGGTCGACCCGGATTGCTTCGGTAAGCATCTTCTCTCTCCTTTTTCGCCTAGTAGTAAAGCATATGATAATCTGCGTTTGCCACTCTCTGAATCTGCTTTTGATCACGTTTAGGCTTTTATGAATTGCTTTGCTGGTTCTCCATCATTACAAAAAAGGTGTAATCGGGTTAATCTAAACCTTTTAATTGCGCGTGATCTCATATTGTGTACTGAATTTTCTCCATGTAACCATCCTTCATCATGAGGTTGATTCTCTATAAAAAAAAAGAAAGAAGGGTCATGTCATTTGTATAGTCTGGGGTTTATCACGGCTCTTCCAATAAGTACATGCATGTTTAATCTATCTGATCTATCAAGGTATCTGTATGGGAACTACCCATGTTGTATGGCCCGGGAGATGCAGGTTGCTATAATAGTGATTTGAGGTATTTAGGATTCCATTACCAAATTATACTACGAGGTCTGCTATTAATTAATACTATTACTCTTGATTGCCCAGATCTTTATACAATAGGCATTGTGGTACACAAAATACCTACATGGGGGGGGGGGGTGGCATGCTGTCCTGACCGTTATATGTATACTTTATCTGTGCTGACAACGTTTTGACCATCAACAACCACATCATTATCTTGCGACATTGAAACAGCATTTTTTTTTTTATTTTTTTTTTGCGCAGAAATGCATCTTTTCCTAGCTCAAAAGGATGTGTCATCGACTAATAACTCTAAAAAGGCCTTCTCTACTTATAGAGCCAAGGATAATGTATAGTTTAGAAAATCTACATTGAATATACATGCTCAATCAGCTGGATGTAGCACTTTACACAAGGAATATTTTGGTAATACACACAGTGAGTGGCAAGTATGCTGAATAAACTTAATAGCTGGAAGTTTTGATTCGGCATGCTTCACATTTGGAACCGTTCCTCGTAGCATATGTCTTCTACAAAAAGCCTTATCTTGCAGAGATCAGCTCACGGGCTCGTGTCTTTATTTACGCTTGCAACAAGCACTTACTCCTGGACCAAATACCAAAATGGTAGATTTACGTGAAGCGGAGAGACGGTGTAATGAACTGAGAGCGAGAGGAAAAGGGGGGGGGGCCAATGAAACTCCAGATTGACAATTCATTTGCTCTTTCTCTCCATCAAACAAAAAGATATAACATGCAAATTGAGAAACTGCTCCTATTCATCACACTCTACAGCATTGCGATAGCACGGTTTTTAGGTGGGTCTGGTATACACAGTAATTGGTGAATGCATCCACCAACATGTGTCAAATTAGTTCAAGCAGAGGACATCGCAACTACTTTATATCCTTACATCTATACCAACTTAAACAACTGGCCCTGTGTACGTCTACTTAATGCAACAGGAACCATAGGCTGTCATTGTAACTATATATATATACTCATAAAACTACGCGTCTATTCGCTAATGTGCACATCACAGCCTTAAAGAAAAAGAGTGGCGTATTATATCAAATCAACACACAGGACGACATTGACGATTTTACATCTAGAAAGCCACATGGTGATTATGCGCTTGTGTTGCCATATTACCTATTAACCAAAGCCAACATTGATTCGCTCGCAAGCACCGGCAAAGCGACAGGCTTGGTCATCTTATTGACAGAAGCGTCAACTGCAGCACCATCACTGACTTCTCCTGACTCGACCTGTCCAAATTGCGAGTTTGGGCTTTATGCCAACGACACCGATAGATACGAATGGAACACTCAGGCCCAAAACTTGATAGAGCAGACGTTTGATTTTCCCATCTTTGCTATCAAGCCAGAAGATACCACATCTCAAAAAGTATACGATTTCATTACAAGTGTAGGTGCTTATAGGATGGGAATCATGCACCACACACACACACACACTCAATTCAAACACGTCTAGAGTATAGCTGTCAACGTAGCCAACGAATACAAAAACTATCCCTTGAAAGCCATTGACTTCGATTTGTTCATGTGGGCCGCTGTCAATTCAGAAACGTGTCTACGAAGAGGATGGTGTCAGGTCGTAGGCGGCATGTCGGTCTATTCTACACCATCGCTCAATATCTCTGCTGATGATAAAAAGCCCATCGTGGTGGTCTCAGCAAGCATGGATAGTCGATCTCTGTTTCACGATTTGACCGTGGGCGCCTCAAGTGACGTCTCTGGCATGGTCACTGTATTGGGCATTGCGGATGCTTTGAGCAGAGTAAGTACAGGTAACAAGAAGCCATCCGTTTTATTTTTGGTATTCACATCTGTATCATAGGCACCCGCACCGCTGGATCAGCTGCCAAAGCATATTCTATATACATTATTCACTGCAGAATCGTGGGGATTTGCTGGCTCACAACGGTTTATCAAGGACATATCGACACCCTTTGTATGTACAAACGCTACCAGAGCCACACCATGTCCCTATGCCAATGCACCATGTACATTTCCTTGCGTCAGAAACACACACTTTCAAAACATCAACTTCGACAACATTGAATCTATATTCGAGTTTCAGTCTGTCTCCGGCATCAATTCCAACTACACAGATGGTTACTATGTGCATGTGGATGATGCACAGCAGTCGCAATCCCTCATCATAGCGTTGCAGCCCCATACCAACATAAAAATAGCTTCAGCAGACGGTGTGGATCGCAAACTGCCTCCCAGTAGCGCCATGAGTTTTTTGCAAAAGAAGAGAGATATAAAAGCGGCTGTTATTACAGATTATCAAAAGCAGCTTGGCAGTTACTACAACAGCGACATGGATGATGGCTTGGACATCTCAAAGGCAACAGACTCTATTTGTGGGCTGGTCAATTCAACAGCAAACGCCATCTACAACCAAGCATCAAATGGAAATCTGACAAGCCTAATTACTGCAAATTGCACATTGATCTCTTCCATGCTCGACTGCTTGATATCCAACTTTTCATGTCCATTCATGCAAAACTATTTTAATGGTATATCTAGAGTGTAACCCATGAAAATGCTCTTAACTAACAACATGCTTTGTTTAGTTACTGCTGTGTCAAGAATACCTCATTACACCTCTGTTTACTCGTTTCAAAACCCTCAACCTCAACTTTTACAGCGGTTCGCATTCAGTTTTTTGAGTGGCGCAACTGGAAAGCAACGTGTGGCAGACAATGGGCAGCCTGTGCAATGTCAAACGATCAAGGATTGTGCATCGGGCGAATACTGCATCAAACAACAATGCACCACCTCACTCACCACCTACCATGAAGCGTATGGTACAGGATTACAGTACGATGAAAGCACTGGATATGTCAAGGTAGTGGATCCAACCAAGGGCACATGGACAGAGAGCACGTAAGTAGGACACACATCACTCCATGACATGACCAAAGCACTCAAGTGGCCCTTTTCTAGGTGGGATTCCCCTGCAATGCGCATATTTTCCATCACCTCCACATCACACCAAATAGTTGAATTTGTAGTTGGATTACTGTGGATGTTGGCTAGTTTTACCACTGTTTTATTTGTTAAAAAGTACCTGAAAAAGACACTGAAAACTGAATAAAAATGCTGGTATTTAGAGACTTGAAATGTGAGACCTTACTAGGACATTCGATATATTGTGTAACAGTTAAATGAGGATTCTAGTATGAATTTCCTTGTAAATGTTTGTTTGAACAATGCCTGTCGCTGTGCTGTTGTCTGTTTTCTTTGCTCCAGTACTTTTGTCGTTCCTGTTGCTTGAACGAGTAGATCCATCGCTGCTGCTATGCTTTAATCGTTTGTTGGGCAAGGCGTCGTCAACCAAACTATCTTCAAACGCAAATAGGGATGATGTAGAACTTGTCCACAGCGAATACATGGATTCAATGGAAAGTCCTCTGAATAAAGCCGGAGGTGCATTGGCAGGTAATGTCGCCGATGGTTGTTCTTGTTGTTCTTCTTGGCCTTCCTGCACTGCGCAGTTGTTTCGAGGTGATGAAGGATGAGAAGCCTCATTTTGCTGACCATTGTCTTTACCAGGAGTTGTGCCACTTTCCCATTCCAAACTACTGGGTGCCTCTAAACTGGGTGCTGCTTCTAGACTACTTGGCTGATCCAATACTCCCGGTTCCTCTTCTGTTGTTGTTGTTACGGCTGCTGGTTGTTGAGAGTTTTCGTGAGAGGATTGATCCAGAGGTGAATCTGGCATGAATACAGACCAGTCTCCATCATCAATACCATCATTGAACAACCGAGAGAGCGATACACTCGGCAGTAAAGCAGGCGGTAAATCAGTTGATTCTTTTGTATTGGTTGCATCGTTTGATAGCTCATGGTTGTTGGTAGTACTTTCGGTGATAATGACAGGCTCTGTGATGTTGAGTTGCTTTTGAGCTGCTGCCTCTGAAGGATCACAAGTCGAAGCGGGCAGAAGAGACCATTTTGCTTGATCTGATTCTTTTGAAGACATGGAAATGGAATTGGGTGATAAATGGAAATTGGGATCGATAACCAGCAGGTGAAGCAGCGTTTCCTAGTCATCATCTGGTTCAGCTCTTATTTGTCATAAAAGCATGTCAGCAACAAGTTGTTATGAAACTCACCTTCTCGACTGGCTTGTTGTATGTCTTTTTCAATTCAGTCATGATTTCGTTAGTACTTAGATCTGTTTGAGCCTCGTTAAATAAGACTACAATAGCAGATGCGAGTTCATGGTCCACGCCAGTGTCATGATGATCGTTGGGTGTGGTAATCTCAGACTCCTCTCCTCCATCGTCGTCTCCTCGCTGGCTTGGGTATCGTGGTTGAATGAAATTGTCAGGCAGAATAAACACAAAGGTGGTACCATTGATCTCAATCAAGGAACCCGTTTTTAGCACAGTTGGTTTATCTCGCGGTTTTTTATCCACATGGTTGATTTTGACACCGTTTCTTCCGTAGACATACAACTCCCATCGCTCTCTTCGTGCACTGAATCGTATCTCACAATGTCGTCTTGAAACAGTATTGGAGTCGACGAAATCCACATGCACCAGCTGCTCTTTTCGCGTGCGTTTCTGTCCAGGTGCAGCTGTGGCGGATCTGCCGATGACGATACGAGGTTCGCTAATGCAATAGGTCCAGTTGGAGCCAGCTAAAAGTGGATAGCGATGCGCTGTGTTGGGTGGAACGGAGGGTGTGTTTACTTTGACAGTGTGCGCTGATTCTGTGAGTAGATGGTAGCCTTTGGATAGTTCTGGATCATTAAACTATGGCGGATGCTGTTAGCAAAGCATGTCGTCACTTGAGTTCTAGTAAACTTACAGATGTATTCGTAATGGATTTTGACATGAGTGAGAAGAAGCAAATAAGAAAAAAAAACAGAGGCTAAAAAAACAGAGGCTAAATTTTTGATTGAAATATTTCAAGGAGTTTATTGGTTGTTTCCTCATGGTATTTTATGCCTTCATTGGACCCTCTGCTGCAACTGGCAATCCAAATTCATCCAACTTGACATCGTGTTGCTATATGTTGCGGTTAGAGTCTGTTCCATCCATTTTATCACACACGCTATATATTTACCAATTTGGGATCTGTTTCGGCTGTCTTGGGAAGATCAAGCTCATCTTCCTGCAAGTAAGACGGAACTTCTTCGTCCTCAAATTCTAATTCATCACCGAGCGCATCCAGTTCTTGTTAAAGTGTGAGTCGTCTCATTAATACACTAGCTCGCCCCTTTCTCAGACTCACCTGCTTCGAGGTCGTCCTCGTCAATATCGTCAGGTAAATTGTATGATCTACCCAGTGTTTCTTGAACCTCGTTTGCTTGTTCCATCAAATCCTCCATTTCGTCTTGTAATTGCTGCAGTAAAACTATCAATGCATGGCCCATTTGCAGTCATAAGCACATTGCAACTTACGTCAATCTTGTCCAAATTTACATTCTTGTATTGCTTCTTCATTTCCTTGTTGGCAGTCTGCATAGCATCCACAGTAGCCATTACATTACGTAAGTTCTCTGTTGTCATTTGCGCTTGTTCCATATTGAATGATTGTTGTTGCAAGTTATCACGTTGCGCTTCGTAGCTATCATCCCGTTCAATATCTCGCTTCCTTTTCTCCAATAATGCCTACTTACAGCTTCTTTTGCTTTAAAACTCGAAGTGCTTTTTGTTGCACAGTTTTCTAGTTCACATCAGTACACTACAGCGATAGCCATCGCACATCAGCTTACCTTGGCTGGCCCATCTCGCATCTTTTTCAGCTGGTCTCTGTATCTTGTAAGTTCGGCATCGAGTTTCTTTACTTTGACTTCGACTGCGTCAACTCGCACATCGGTCTATTGAAAAAGTAGCATGAGCAACAAAATTGAAGATAGATTGTACAAGAACTATACATTAGAGATTGCATCATTTAAAGTGGGTTTGGGAATCTTTTTTCCAGAGCCAAAGAGTCTGTTCATGCTGCTGTTTTGTTAGATGAGATACAAATAGAGGGGTAAAAAAAAACGAGAGAGAGAGAGAGAGAAAGAGAGAAAAAGAAGAAGGCGTTGCTGTATAACAAGTCGGTCAAGAGAATTGATGTTGTAATAACCTACATGTGGAACTAGATACACCCCCTTTAACAGCATTGGAAGATCAATCCAATGCCATCTCCACATGACATGTCATGTCATTGCCTTTTGATTTCGCTGGGCATCAGATGATATGGCTCTTAATGTCTTTCTGAAGGATATCCAAGCGCATGGAGCAATCAATACAACCAATTTCTTCTTAAACAGAGTGGCCAAGCACATGCATTCAGCGAGCAAAGAGGTTCCATCAAGTGAATAAATTTCAGCGTACCCTGTGCCTGAAGTGCTGCTCAAAAGAGAAGTTCATTCGTCCATTTGCTATGATCAAACACAGAAAATGCTTCTTGAGGTTCTGATAGTATTACACACATCAAGTGCACCTCTAACAATGGGACTCATGGGTATTGCTCCACAGAAAATGTCCTGACAAATCATGTAATCAACTTTTTGAAAGCTCACATCTTTTGATTCGTCAACACATGAACTAGTCAGTCCACGTTAATCGGAAAGACATATTACTAATAGCCATCCATGGTCGTTTTCTCGATACCTTGTATAATGATAACTCAACCTGGATTAATAGCCAGCACATTTGGGCGATCATTTAGCGTAGTAATACAACGAGCAGCCAACAAGGCGAAACTCCTCTTGGCTCCTACACATCACTTTATGTTTACTATTCGAGTCTCCGCGATTGTCCCCTAAAATAGATTTCGCATCCTGTTCTTGTTCTTCTTTCTTCTTTCTCTCATTCTTATATTTTCGAGATAAACATTTAGAAAAAATGGCTACTGAATCTGTTATCCTTGTCACTGGCGGCTCTGGCCTTGTTGGTGAAGCCGTCAAGTGGGTCATTGAAAACGACCAGAGCAAACGTTACGGTAAGAAGGAAAATGAAACGTGGATCTTTTTGTCCTCCAAGGATGGTGATTTGAGGTAAGTCAACCTTTGATCTCGGGGCAAAATAACGAGACGAGAAAGGCTGATGCATCTTTACAGAAAAGAACAAGATGTCAAGGCTATTTTTGAAAAGTACAAGCCTACTCATGTTATCCATTTGGCTGCCATGGTCGGTGGTTTGTTCAAGAACATGAAGTACAAGCTCGACTTTTTGCGCGAGAATATGCTCATGAACGACAACATCTTATGGCAATCCAAGGAATACAATGTAAGTTGAACAAGAGGAACGGAAAGGGTGGGCACACGCTTATCTAAAGCGCTCTGTTGTGTTGTGTATCTAGGTCAAGAAGGTTGTTTCTTGTCTTTCCACTTGTATCTTCCCCGATAAGACCACTTATCCTATTGATGAGACCATGGTCCATAACGGCCCTCCTCATGAGTCCAACTTTGGTTACGCCCACGGTAAGCGTATGATCGACGTTTATAACCAGTAAGTACACATTTTAGCGGGAAAATCATCCAGTCAATTACAATAATTTGCTCATGTGTAACCTCTCCTTTCATTTTAGTGCCTACCACGAGCAATTTGGCTGTCATTTCACCTCTGTTATCCCCACCAACATTTTCGGTCCTCATGACAACTACAATCTTGAAGGCTCTCATGTCTTGCCTGGCTTGACCCATAAGTGCTATCTCGCAAAGAGTAAGTCTTTTTGTTGCTGACGTATAAGCTGTATACTGATGTTGTCCATAGAGAACAACACTCCCTTTGTTGTTTGGGGTTCCGGTAAGCCTCTCCGTCAATTCATCTACTCTCGTGATTTAGCCAAGCTCTTCATCTGGACTTTGAGAGAATACGAGGAAATTGATCCCATTATCTTGTCTGGTAACTATTTTTTTTTCAGTGCGTGTATTTAGGAATAATGTACTAAGTTGAGTATTCTAGTTGGCGAAAAGGACGAAGTTTCCATCAAGGATGTTGCTGATTCTATTGTCAAGGCTATGGATTTCCAAGGCGAATACGCTGTAAGTATTAGATGGTATCTTTTGATAGTATAGCAATCTCATCTCGAGACACTAGTTTGATTCCACCAAGGCTGATGGTCAATACAAGAAGACTGCCAGTAATGAAAAGTTGATGAAGTATATCCCTGATTTCGAATTCACACCTTTCGATGTTGGTAAGTGGATGAATCTGTTGAATGAATAGGGACACACACTCACATTTTGCCCAACCATCTAGCTATCAAGGAATCAGTCGATTGGTTCGTTGAGAACTATGATACCCTTCGCAAGTAGAGGAAGCAATTTTTTGTGTAATAAAATCACTAGATGCAGACTATCTAATGCGTCTGACATGTCCAGCGTGCCTTACAACCACTATCATTTCACTAATAAACTGTATCATTGTGTTACGATGTATCGACACAACAGTGCGCCACTTTACCTAATATCTTCAGCTGAATATTTGGATGTAACAGCATGCGCTGAATCTAGGTCAATGAATACAGTGTCTTTACGCCTTTGTATTATAACAAAATACGCCTATTGACGAGCAAATATAGGAAATACTGCTAAATCTGACAGCTTTCGAGCCTTAATATCTTGACATGTAGGCCATTCTGAGCCACTGGAATGACGCCAAATAATTATATTCGAGTAGAAGTAACTTTCTGACGCCTTTGCTCAACTTTTTGAGACCCAAAAAACATGCGGTACTCCTCATGGTTTTCATCAAAAATCAAACGATCGCGTTTTTCACCGTGAAAGTGAAGACTTTTACTATGGTACATATTGAACCAAATTGTTTCTCTAAATCCAAAGCAACTCGTGAAACTTTGTTTCTTGGACCTTTATATGGAAAATTTCGACATTTTGGCCAAAAACCTCATTTTATATTTTCAAACATTGCTCGGTAAGTTTATTTAAAACACATATTTTAATTAGTACCATTAGATGCGCGTTGAAAAGTACTTCAAAAATGTAATAGGAAGTACGGGCTGATCATCACAGCTTTTATAGTCGAATCTCTCAGAATAGATTAAAGACGTCGAAAAAAGATAACATTTGGCCAATCTTAAACAGAAAAGGCCTACTGAGTTTGAATATATTTTGGCAGCGGCGGCAATGGCGCTCCCGCTGGCTGACCAGAATGCCTTTCTAATGATGGCAATGATGATTCTGTGTAAAGTCATATTATTTCATTGAACTTGCTAGTATGCAATTCTTAATTCAAATGCTTTAGAAAAGCTTTAACTTTAGATCAGGCCTTGCCGAGAATTAGGCATTTGGAAATTTAATCTAGTTTCAACCAGAGACGTCTTGTTGCAAAGTTTGTCATGGCGCATTTTTCGCCATTACACTTTGTGGCGGTTCGTTTGTAGGGTATGTCTATTTGTTTGTAATTTTCGATAGGGCTGCTTTTACTATATTCAAGATCCAGGAAAAGGTTTCAACTCCATTAGTGTATAAAGAATATGCTCACTGCGGTACGAGCAAGAAAGATCCGCCAATGTATAGCTATTCGAGACGACTTTGCGGCATGTATTGACTGCTGCTCTTTGTCTACCAAATTCGCTCTGACGTTTATACAATAGAGCCTTCAATAAAGTAGGATTTAACATCCTAGTAAGCATAGATGAATTTGGATAAATTGCAAATATTCGTAACACTCGAGACGTTCAGCTCCTATACCTACTTGTTATTCAAACAAACATGTATGCAAGCGTATTTTTGTAATTCCAAGTATACTATATATATATAGATAAAGGGTCATTGAATCATATTCGTCACTTTACTCTACTTTTCTAAAATGGTATTCCTTATCATCGGCTATCTGCTCTTCTTGGCTACTACCTCTGTTTTCACTCAAGCCACTAAAGATTTTGTCACCAAGTCCTGTGCCAACAACAAGCACTTGTCACTGTGAACAAGGTTTCACTCAAGTTGTTGAGGCTAGAGAGTGCTTCTGTAGAAGAAAAGTGAATTGTGCAGGAGTTACACACAAGAATACCCTATTTATGGCAAGAACTACAGTGTAGAACAGCCTAATCATGTCTTGTGTGATGGAATTCGCCAGCATTGTTCTGTATACACATGGAACAGATTCTGAAATGAAGCCAAAACCAAGAAATGCAAGTATTAGTGTCAAATGATTGACAACGGTAGTTCTTTGGGCCGTATCAGTGACACTATTGTATTCAACTCGTGAATCAATAAGTGAACATATGCTTTAAACCAGCTTTTAGCTTAGAATTAGTGCAGAGATGCATGATAAACTATGTTGAGAACTAAGACATTCACGCATGGAAATCTAGTTCATTTTAAATACGAGAAACAGTCGAGCTGGCAAATTCAACTCATAAATTAGACAAGCAAACCATTTTTGATTGTTGTATAAGCTGAATAAACATATTTATCTTTCAACATCTACCCTATCGTCGCAAAATATTGCGCACATCTTCAAATGAGGTAGCTGAGATATATCACTGTTGATACCATAACGTGTAAATGCGTAGAAGTATAAATCATACGGTATCGCGAAATAAATGGTGTGACTTGACTAGTGCTATAAAGCTCTGATACCGAAGTTGTTAGTTGAGCAGCGAAGATTAATGTATATTTGTCAATGGTAGAATGGTCCGGGTAGAATGATTCGCAATCTTGTTGGTTACATGTTGCTCAGCAATTTATATATATATATATATATAACGGCTGCTTCGAAGATTGCTTGATGGAGAGCGATAGATGAAATGACCATGATGATTCATCTCGACCAAATCGATGCATTGCTATCAAGGCATTTGAATGAACTCCCTAGGGTACGTGCTCACTCTGATCAAGACAGGCGAGGAATGCCTTGCATTTATGCAATCGCAATGCCTCTGAAGAGATTTGTAGCCATTAGCACTCCGAGTAATTGGAGACACAAACTCTGCAAAGGAAAAAATAGAAAGAGTTCCACCCCCCACCCATGAGGGATTTTTAATATTTTTTTCTTTTTTGTCTGTTTGAAAGTTTCTGAAAAACCATTATTTTAATGCTGATTAACGGTGAAAAGTGGGCCTGTGGTAAGTTGACATGATAGTGCCTGTGTCTGTTAAACCAATGGTTAGTTAATGTCTACATTTATACATTACAGAAACATGCATCAAGGTATAATTTGATAGAGGAAGGAATGATGAATGGGAAATGCTTATTTTTATCCATGATAGGGCCATCGAGCAACACATTGCAAACACACAGATCGCAAATTGATCTCTATCAAAAAGAAAGGCAGACCTGCAACCCAATGCAAACGATGTAGAGAACTGCGAGTGCTAAGGCAGCTTCATGTCAAGTGCGATTGCGAGGATTCAGGTAAGGATTGAGAGACAATTTGTATTCAATCACACTTAAGATCGCAAATCAAGGTCCAGGTGTGACGAAAAAGAACAGCAATAGCAATTCCAGTCCTAGCCTATCTTCAGGTACATGATACATCACCTTTTAATCCATGCCATCCACACTGATTTACAGGTTGTAGTAGCTCCTAGAAAGAGAAAAAAGGTAGAATCACTGCGACCTCTTGCGCCCAAAATATCAGAATCCAAAGGCTGCTGCAATAGTAGTAAACCACTGCCACCACCATCTTCATCGTCGCCATCAACACCTGCCCCATCAACACCCACTACGCCCATAGCGCATGTTACACCAGAACCAGTCAGCAGTTGTTGTAGCAAGAAGTCGCTACCATCTACAGCTACATCTACACCGCCGCCGCCTCCTGCTATTGCTTCATTATCATTCATACCAGCAGACATGGATTCATCGCCCTCAATATTACCGCTCGAACCTGTTCCACTTCCTGTTATTCCTCCACCATCATCATGCTGTGGACCACCATCTAAAAACCAGCAAGGCGAGACCATTCGAGTGGTGACATGTCGATGTGGTGATTCTTGCGCCTGTATTGGCTGCGATGCACATCCTTCCAGGGCAATGAAAGAAGGAAAAAACGATGTGTATATTGGATTTGATACATCAGTAAATAGCAATAAACGACGTCTCTCCATTGCAGCCATCTGCGCAACATCCTCAGCATCGACTCCAGCAACCAGGACATTTGCACCATTTCTTTCACAGCAACAACAACAAGACCATCCTACCTCTATACTAGCTGAAGACGGCACTGTGTTATGTGGATGTGGATGCTCAAGAGCGTTTGCAGAGTGCTCAGATTGTTTCCGCGAATTATGCGATGGCTACTTCAATTAAGGCTCTTGTTCCAATTTATTAATACTACTACTACTACTACTGCTACTATTACTGCTTGCTAATATAACTAATACGATGGCTATTCCTGCTGGGCGATGGAGATCTTGATTTCTCAAGCGTGAAAGGATCAAGATATTGGCTCTTTTTTCTATATTGCTGCTGTTGCTGCTGAATTTGCTGGAAACTAATGTTGTGTGATCCCGGTTCAGGCAATTTACCCAGCAACCCTTCAATCTTCACTTTGGATGTATCTAATTTGGGCTTGATTCTCTTTGAATCTGCCTTTTCTTGCTCTAATTGCTTTAATAAATCCATGCCTGACATGCTTACATTGCTTCTACTTTTATGTTGCTGCTGTTGATGATGATGATGAGGATGATGAGGATGATAATAGTGTTGCTGTAATTGTTGCTGTTGTTGTTGGTATTGAAACTGTGCAAGTTGAGCTTGGTGTTGCTGCTGTTTTTGATGCAGTTGTTGAAGGTGTGTGCCTTCGACCAGCGTTAAAACGGGTCCTGCATTGGGGTTTGTCACTAGCGCTCTGTCATCATCATCGTCATCGTCCTCCTCTTGCTGGTAGCTTTGATATTGCATGTAGTTAGCATAATCCTGGTATGCATGGTTATCATTAGGATGCAGTCTATTCCCTCCTGCAAGACTGGCCGTGTGTTGCTTCTCCCCTCCTGCTCCCTGCTGCTGTTCATGCTCATCCTGTTCCTCTTCAGAGTCTTCATCATCGCTGGGTAGTGGGCGGCTCTTTCTCATTGGTTTTGTCATTGAGGGCGTTGAGATGGCTAATTTCTGTACACCACCACGAGGTACCTTGTTGATTTCATTATCAGAATCTTGCTCCTCATCCTTCTCGTCCTCCTCATCCTCCTCTTCCTCTTCGTCGTCACTGGGCATGCATTGCTTGTTGCGGCTTACTGATCTTGGAGTCATCCCGGGACGCTTCAATGATGCTACATACATAAACGCATCAGATGCCATGTTGCCCAATGCGATAGTACTATCGAGTATACAAACCTTGTGGAGCCTGCTGGCTGATCTGTTGTCGATCACTTTTCAAATCAAGCACTGGGCTCGGTGAATCAAACGATAAATGGGAAAAATTAATGTTGAACTTTTCAAGCGAAGAAGACATGATGGATGTGTGTCCAAGGCAAGGGAAAAGAGGAAGAAAAGAAGAGAAAATGAAAAGCGAGATAAATCTGTTCTTTTTATATACACTTGCTTTGACATCCCAGCAAGGATGTACTACTACAGGCAGGAGTCAAGGAAGGGGAGGAGAGGAGTTTCCGTGTATCAATTTACCACTTATTGGTGCAACGTGGTTTCTTATTTATAGATTGGAGAAATTACATATTTGTTCAATTTATTGTACACACTTAGTGCTGGTATTTTATCCTCTTTCTCTCTTCTGTCAAGGTCTTTAGTTGCAGACGTTTTCTTGGCCAGATGCCTTGGTGTTGAGAATCAAGGCGACAATGAGACCGTAAAGACCCAAAACTTCAGCGAAAATCAAGATCAAAATCTATGTAAACAAGAAAATAAGGGTCAGTTTTGTTTCATCTCATTGGTGTCTAGCTATCCCCCATTTACCATGCCAACAAACATTCTAGGCTGTTGAGCGGTTGCACGAACACCAGCATCACCAGTAATACCAATTGCAATACCAGCTGTTGGTGATAAAATACACAATGTCAATGTCAGCTACTCTATTTATGAAGGACGATCTTACCGGCAAGACAAGAGAGACCAACGCTGAGGCCAGCAGCCATTTGGATAAAGCCGCTGAACAAGGTTTGCTTCATAGCAACTATAACGACAAGCATGTAAGTATTCCGCGTGCTCTAAATTAAGAGGGTCAACTTACGTCCGCCAGATAAGAGAACGGATACGACCACACCGTAAATACCCAAGATACCAGCCATGACTACAGGGACAATGCACTTCAAGACCAAGTCAGGGCGCAAGACACCCATAGCAGAGAGGCCTACACCAGACTTGGCAGTACCGTAAGCAGCTCCCAAGCCTAAAAGGTCAAATCAAAGCCATGATCAATATCCAGGCACGGGAATGACTAAACGCGCGTTTCATCTCATGTACTTACAGCTGAAAACAATGGCTGCAGCGCAACCCATAGTACCAAAAAATGGAGCATAAACAGGACTATATCCAACATGTTAGTCAGTTATTCTTGTTGATGATGAAACTAGTATCTTGCTATTTACCAGTATTCAGACATTTTGTTTTATGGATTTATACTAGAGGTATATCTACAAAACACAGATGCGTATATAAGTACATTTGAAACAGAACAAGCCAGGATTGAAGGTGCTTCCTTACAGTTTTATAAAAAAAAAAGAAAATAGAGAGTGAGAGAGAAGAAAGAGAAGAGATGACACACAAACAAAAGCGAAACCAGAAAGCCATTTGCTGTCCGTATGTGAATGCCAATTTGGTCATTATTTCAACCTCCTCTAGATCAATAGTGTTGATTAAAAGCTCGCTACGTTTTATTCAAGCTTTTGAATTTATCATCTACCAGGAATTACGATGCAAGCACTTGCAATGACTCGCTTGGCACCTAATGTATCCGATGTTTGTACTGCATTCATAGTATAGATCTCTGTCGTCCCCGCCTCCTCTCCTCAACCCTTTATCATCAGCACTATGATCGTCGTTCCTGGACTAAATCTCGGCAGCATACACTACATGAACTCTGTTTTGCACTGTCTAGCAATACATATCCTTTGACGCATTCTGGGCAAGGAATTGCAGATGAATTGCTGTGTATCACACACATGAATAGTAGCCTACATTAAGTAAGGTGTCTGGGTGTACCGCTGAGATGCAGATCATGATGAATGTATTTCGCAGAGAGGGATATATGACCAAAACGGATTTTCTCATATAATTAGCGCACATTACTTTTCTCCCCCCTAACACTGATAGTTTCTTTTAGATCAGAATAAAGAATCGTAAAACATTGAAATAAACTGGCTTGATAACCAAAAATGAAAAAATGTGAAACTGGACTTCATCTTCTGCTGCACTTTCAATTCAATATTATACAAAACGAATGTTTATGCTTCGGATGGCTCTATACCTTCGCTTCGCTTCGGTGAGAACTAACCTGCTCAGCGGCAGCTCGCGCTACCGAATGCCCTCGGGTATATCATCAGAACACTGCTACATTTATTTTGACCCTCCATTTATACATGAAAACCCTTCATATTATCTGAAAATCTATTTCCTATGTGATGTCCCACCTTTGTATACTCGTAGAGACTACATATATACGGGCAAGTAGCATACAGACATTATCCCTTTTCAATCAATAGTGTGCTCAACACAGCAAAATACGAGTGCGTTTGAGCTGCGTTTTCTTGCGTTCAAGGCTGTTTTAGGCCGTCAGGATAGCACCAAACAATTACTCTCATCTGGTAGTTACTTTCTGACACCTTTGCTCGATTTTTTGGTGATCAAAAAAAAACATGGACAAAAATCGGCCAAAAAGCATGAGGTACCCCCTCATGGTTTTCATTGAAAATTAAACGATCGCATTTTTGACCTTGATAATGAAGACTTTTACTATGGTATGTATTAAATCAAAATGTTTCTATCGATCCAACGTAGCTCCTGAAATCATTTTTGTAGGACTTTGATATGTAAAATTTCGACTTTTTGGCCAAAATCCTCTTTTTATATTCTCATAAATTGCTCAACAAGTTTATTCAAAACATCTAAGTTACTTGGTACCTTTGGATGCGCCTTAAAAAGCACTCCAAGGAAGCTTAAAGGAGCAGGGGATGATCATTAGATTTTATATAGTCGAATCTAGCAAAATAGTTGAATTGAGTCGAAAATCATCAAGATCTGGCCAATCCAGTACAGACTATGAATCTGGATTTGTATTAATTTTGGCTGATAGACCTGGCTGGCAAACTCAATGCCTTTTTAATCATATGGGGAATACAGCAATAGATGCCCTTGAAGCGTATGAAAAGTAGGTGGAAAATTAAATAGCACTGTAGTTAGCCATGCTATTCTCTTTGCATTCTACTTTTAATAACGCCAGTCTATCAAAATGCTCGTTAGATCAACGTCTTTCCTTTTTGAGGCTTTGAAAGTGTGCAGGGATCATAAATTTATTATATTACGATGAGCCTTTTGACTCTTTAGATGATTTCCTGACCTACGCTTTGCTTTGGTGGAAATCAACCTACATCCTGGTGGCTCGCGCTGCTGCGAGTCTTTGGCTAATATTGCAAAATTAATAATAGCTAAAATGTTAAAAGACCCTTGATTGTTGTTGATTGGTATAGAACTACTAATCATATATGAGCCATGTCTAGCAAATGCCTGGCAACTCGGTTTCCATATTAGGGTTGTAAAACTGTCGAGGGACTATTGTGTTATAATATGTGGAAGGTGCCTGTGTGCCTTGTGAATCCAACCACCTAAACCTGTCTATCGCTTCAACCAAAATAACGAAAGATACATCGTACACAGCAGTTCAAGTACAGCAACATTTCTGTATCAAAAAGAAGTGAAGCAGTAACCGCAAACTGCATTGCATTGGGTATTTTTTGATGGTAAAGACAATGCGCGTACCAGTTCTTCTTTTTTTTTTAAAAAAAAAACTCATACTTGAGCTTGTAGAAAAATAGCGCATCACAGTGAGGAATATCGACACTTTTATTGAAATAATTATGTAACGGCTACAAAGATCGCTGGCCATACAACAGTAGCAGAAACAGCTCTGAAAGAAATCAGCGTTTCTCTTTTTGATGAATGTGGTGGTGCCGCTGCAAATTTCTTGCAAAGCATTATATTTCTATTGATAAGGACATGGTGTAGCTCTCCTTTCAAATGACCCACTCTTGTGTTGGGATAAAAATAGCGAATCATCTTGAGCAATAGGAACCTCAGACAAGGTTTGGCTAAGCAAAGTTTTAGATAGAATGGATTAGGCAATTAAAGTTGCCCGTTACGAGTGATTACGGGTGCTCGACCTATGGATTAGGTGTTGGAAAACAACATTGCAATAAAAACCTTTAGGCTACATCTTCTTTCATTGTGGTTGGGCAAAAGGACAAAGGCGCGTCGCGTATCGTATTATCAAAAAAGGGGAACAGCTTTTTGACGCCGTACGTTAATGCTAGAGGCTTCAAAATAGAACGATTATATGCCCACTTTGAGGGGTTGCTAAGGATATAAACGAGGTTTTAGTCGCTGCTTGCATTGGTGGCCAAATGATTAAACGAGTAAAGTGTAAAGTAATAACCGATACAAAAACCCAGTGTTTTGAGTGCAGTAAAAAGGGGTTAAAAAAAGCAGGTAGAATACTGTTAAAATCCTTCTTTATTCAAAATTAGGATAATGTGCAATAAAATGTATATTCTACGTCTCTATTTATATTATTTGGTTTATATCTCTTATCTGGCAACAGTTTAGTAGTTGCCAGTGATTCCATTACTTTATATATTTTTGTTGGGTCATTTAGTTGTTGATCTGATGGATCAAGAGCGGTATTTCAATATATGGTTTTTTGAATCATGCGTAAAGAATAGCTCTTCATTGTTGAGCCTGTATCCTTTTTAGGTATATTTATGTTACAACACATTACAATACCCTTGACATTTACTTTAGTATCTGTCATCTCTTATTTTAGAGCATTTAACCCTTGCTATCATCATGCTAATACTATTATTATGCATGCCTATCTGCTGATGGTAGAATGGTTTAATTGAGATGACATTTATTTTGGACCTTGTTTATGATGGGAATCTAGTCTAGTTCACTTCAGTGCAATAGCATGACTAAACTTGATGACTGGAACTTGATGACTAATTATTATCAATTAGTTTCTTTGACTCCTGAGAACCAAGGTGGTGGTGGACATAGACATAACACTTGAGCCACATCATCACAGATCCAGGAACATGATCTTGGCTCTGTTCATGACAGAAACTCGCTTTCAGGGACAAAAGGTCATAGACTACCACAGCTCAGGAACCAGAATATACCGTAGATTAGCCATTTGGTGGCCCTACTCATGTTCATTTGTACTGCATATAATGTACTCCAATGTTCGATTCAGTCAACAATGTTGAATGACACGGTTTGAGAAGTTATCATATGATGCATTTCACAATATTACAGTGCGCGAAAAAAACGTTCCAGTGTTTTGCCAAATTGCACTTATAGCCAGTTTTCTCTGCAAATATCAAAGCTACTGGGGTTTGCTTAGTTTCGTAAATAGCCTAAGTAGTTGGCTATTAGATGATATATTATGCACTTTATTCACGTAATTAGAAAAAGAATGGTAGCCTCATGAAAAGTGAAAAGTCGAATTTATTAAATCTTATAAAAAAGCTCAATATTTAGTTGGACCACCTTTACTCTTGATAACCGCTTTGATTCGGCGTGGCATGCTGCCTATGTATTTAAGATAGTCTTCTTTTGTGAATTTATAGCATTCCTGTTCAATTCTGTCTTCTAGCTTAGAAAGGCTGGTGGCCCTAGTAGGGTACCTGTTCAAACGACGTTTTAGTTGATGCCAGACATGTTCAATGAGGTTTAGGTCAGGACTTTGGAGGGGGGCCAATCAAGGACACTTTGCACAGAGAATCCGTGATGCGTGAACCATTTCTTAATGGGACCAGAAGTATGTGGTCTTGCGTTATCTTGCTGGAATTTAAACGTTTTCTTGTCCAGCCCATAGTACTCGATAGTGTCTAGCAAAGATGAGTCCAGAATTTCTGCATAAACTTCTGAGTTAACAGTTCCTTCGGTAATGGTGGAGCCATAGCTGGGTCCCTCCGCTGTTATCATGCCCCAGAAAACAACGCCACCACCATCTCCCTGAACTTGAGCCTCAGTTTGATGAGGCATCAACTCAGTGGGCCTGTCAGTCCAGTAGAAAGATTCGCCGTCAGATCCCCACATGTTGACCCTAGTTTCATCGGAAAATCCCCATTTACGCCAATCGTCCGCAGTCAAATGTCGATGTCTCTTGGCCCACACAAGACGTTTTTTCCGGTTCTCCGCAGACACGAAATTGGTCTTTATCTTTCTTTTTGCCTTGAACCCTTTGCGCTTGAGTATATACTGTATATTCCTCAAAATCATCTGAACTCCCATATGAGCAAGGTAGCACTGCACACCCTTGGGGCCGTCTAAATTACCATTGCGGAGATTCCTCTCAATGTAGTTCATATTCTGCGTAGTGATTTTGCT